GTGAATTTGAAATATAGTGAGTTGCAATAGCCTAAATGGAATGAGATAAAAGCAATTCACTGCTGTAAAAAAATGAAAACCAGGCTTGTAGCAAATGATTTTTATGTGTGAGTACAACTGACAGGTTCTGTGAGAAGCTATCAATGCTCTTGTGTTGACCAAATAACTTCTGATTTAGAAAATTATGGGCTATGCATATTTTAGTCTTGAAAGCATTACATGAGCAAGAGTTGGAAGAGTCGGAAACACTGAGAAGAACATAAAGCTGGTTCCTTGTTTGTGTGTTGCATAAAGTAAAGCTGTCCGAGTGCATGTAACTATGCAACGAGTGCGGTCAATGTGATTTCCTGCGTATTTTCTGCCCCCTAGTGGCTGAAAATATACGCCCACTTTCAAAATGGGCACTTGTACTGTCTTACCATTGACCTACAATAGCATTAAAAAAAATACTTTTTAACTCCACTATCGTACATAATATTTATTTAATAGATGCTTTTTCTCCAAAGTGAAACGAAATATACACTTTGAGAAAGCAGGGTTGGTTAGTCCTCGGAGCGATTAGGGGTAGTTCGATGTTCAGAGTCTTATTTGTCACATATTCAATTATACTCAGTACAATGTGCAGTGAAATATGCGGTTGCCTAACCCCAGACTGTGAAAATGTAGATAAGTTTTAGAGACAAGGCATAGACAACACATAACATATTACAAACATTAGACATTAAGTAATAATCATAAATATATGGGATGTGCAAAATTAGCAGTTAGTGGAGCTGATTCAAAGAAGCATTTATGTATGTGTATGTGTGTTGAGTAGGCTTTTGAAAGCATTGATGTGCAGATCCTAAACGCTGTCCCCATTTAAGATACAAATTGCCTATGGAGAGAAGGTTATACGTATCGATATTGTATCAACATCATGTATAGATTTCATTATTATTTTTTTTAGCTAAATACAGTATTTCCTCCATATCCGTGGGGGATATATTCCAAGACCTACCACGGAGTGCCAAAACCGCAGATAATAATGAACCATCTGTGGACCCCATATATAACATGATTTTTACATGTCGTAATTGATAAATTACACACAGTAAAACATTACCAGCATTAAATATGGTAATAATAAGGTTCATTTAACAGCACCGTACAGCAGGGCTAGACTGGCCATCTGGCATCGGGTAAATTAATCGTGGGGGATCCCCCTCCCCGGCTGGCAAAATTTACCGTGGGGAACCTATCCAAATTCCAGGACTGGTATTTAATCCCACCCCAATACTGTACTCTCCCTCTCAAATGAAAGGGACTATGACATTTCGGCACAGTGCTCAGAGAGGACTGAGTACCTGGATGTGTCTGTTTGGGTGCTTAATCTGTTAAACCTACTTGGGGAAATTCTCAGTACTTATAAATAATATAATTCTTTTCTGTTGGGCTATTTGAAACCGCACACCCATACTGTATGTAACTCCTAATTTAATATGTTTAATCACTCTCCATTTGTTCTAAAGATTCATTAAGGACATAAAAAGTGGGTTCCTGGTACAACTGTTGATGTGTCTGGCTCACTGTCGTACAGAGTGAGGACACCAGAGGGAGACATTCCACCGGCGCCATGCACCGTGGGTATAAAACCTATACACACCCCCTCTTAGAATGTCAGGTTTTTGTGATGTAAAAAAAAAAAAATTAGACCACGATAAATCACTTCAAAACTGGGCCCAGCCAGAGCCCAGACCTAAATCCAGTTGAAAATCTGCGGGGTGACCTGAAAAGGGCTGTGCACAAGAGATGCCCTTGCAATCTGACAGATTTGGAGCACTTTCACAAGGAAGAGTGGGCAAATATTGCCAAGTCAAGATGTGGCATGTTGATAGACTCCTACCCAAAAACTCTGAATGCTGTAATTAAATATATATATACGGTTATAGGTCACATTAAACGTGGGAAAGGTTTTTAAATGATTTACCGTGGTCTTATTTTTTTTTACACCACAAAAACCTGGCATTTTAATGGTGATATGTACATTTTTTTAAATCCACTGTACCGCATGAACTTTTAATTGACCCATTTAATCCCACAGGTTACACAGGATATCACATTTTTTAAGCTCCTAAAGAGTGGTTGTTGCCTGTATGCCCAAAAGGCTTCCTGTGGATGAAAGCAGATTTTGTCTTCATGGCATATGAGAAACGACATTGCGCTAGTGTCAATAGTCACATGACCAGTCTAATTCTTGCACTCTCATGGCAGGGAAAACTTTGGGATTAAATGGGTTAATTAAACACAATTACAAGAGTGCTACAATATTTTTGTGTTTCCTTCGTTTTTATCATTGTTTGACTTTCTTTTTGATATTCAGGCGATCCAATGCATACATGTAGGCTATGCCTTTCAGTTTTTAGGAATGTTGAAGGCAAACAGACTGATCATGCCGTGCAGAGGCTGGAACAGAGACCTGTGAGGCGGCGACATCAGGCAGCAGCCCCAACAGCTGCTTGTGTCAGTGGCGGTCAAGCCCAGGTCGACATTCGACTCGATGCATATGTACTTGCGAGTATTTATACATTTCGTAGATTGAGATACCCTCTGGTCTCTTATCCTATTTATAACTCCATGTTTTTGTGAATACAATTATACAAATATATTTACAGGTCTTTGTAAATATATTTTCTGATATGCGTATTAAACAAAAATGAGAGATAATTCATGGAAATCAACCAGGATGCAAATTTATGTGAGAAAACGTAAATGTCCGTGAAATAAGCAATTCTTTACTGACAGCAATTCCCGTCTCTGCATGTTCCTCAGCTCATAGAGTTCCTGAGCTTTATACTAACAATGGGGTGTGTTTCACACATGTAGCATAAGTGCAGTTTTATATATAATCGCATTCATCCATATTTTCTGATGTGATGTTAAGGTATAAGTTTACAAAGCACTACAAATGGGTAATCAAAATCAGGGGAGAAAGGAACTTAAGATCATGCATGACTGTAGGACAGCCCTGCTTACAGGCCAATGAAGATGTTGGCTCCAGGCAAGAGAGCCAAATTAGTTCAAAAGGGAAAATCTATAGTTGAATATCATGCTCCTGTGGAACAAAAATTTCAAGCACTCTGGGTTAATTTTCTAACCATTTCAGAGGGTTCCCCAAATCTGCCTGGTGAATAGCTTTCTTTTAAGGTCTCATTGATATGTAAACACTGAAATTTTTAAGTGGTACAATTTGTTTTGGTCTTTAAATGCATCCTCTCTAAACCCTTGCTTTCCTTTATGAAGGTATAATTCGATTGAAAAGCGCAGTCAAATGTATTACCAGAACTGCAGTGATGCAGGTGATTTTCCAAATCCCCACCTTTACTCAAAATGCATAATAGACATGCAACGATGCTTTGCTTGCACAAGCTACTAACTGAATAATTTTTAATCAAGGTAATACACCTAATATAGATAATACAACTTTGTTTCTGCTTTCTTCTGTTTGTGCTTCTAGATCACAGCCTGTAGAATCATTAAAAGCAGGGTTTAAATTTAGACAGAGCCCAGTTCCAACTCCTTATATCTGAAATGTACCTTTCCAGAGCGCAGCTCTGCATACTTCAACGTTAGCCTATTTTCTTAATGTCCCAACATTTAGAAAGAGATTCAAAGTGAATGTTTAATAAGAGGTCAGTTTTGAGCTAAAAATCATGTTTTTTAATCAGCTTTAATCTGAATTTTCATTAGTAGCTTTGACCAGATACTCAGTTCTTGAGTGTATGAGATTGCTTTGATGCCTTGATTTCTGTCTTGAGTTTTTGTTTTTTGACCCATCTTGCTTACTGTACTGCCGCCAAACCACTTAATAGCTATACTCAGCTAAATATAAGATCTGTGTAAGAACATCTAAGAAGCGATTTGCGAATAACCTGATATTTTAATGCATTTTCGTGGAGACGATACAAATGAATAAGCAGAAATATTACTTGTAACGATAAGCCATCTTGATGAATTTTTAAGTTTCATTTACATTCAAGTACTGCTTAACCACGCGATATGTAAAATACACAAAACAAATAAATATTACTTTTTAATCGCATTTTTCAGTTTATTTTGTATCTCTTTAAAGTAGCGACACGACATGCCGACAAATGAACATACTATGTCTTTAATATCATGAACAGAAATACATATGATTACTAATTAACTAATGTACAAACCAACTTATTGAGGACCCCCTACCCCATACCTGACATGGAGAAGGAATCACATGACCCTGTCACGTAATGTGGGGAACCCTGGGAGAATGTGGAGAATCAGCACTGTCCTGGAAGCGCGGGCTGAGGCAGTTCTCTGCAAAGCAGGGTGTCAGTGTCATTCTTGTCTTTCAGCCCCCCCTCACTGTGCCCCCGGCTCAAGGGTGTTATTTTTGATTCCCGGCTGGAATTTGCAGTTGGCCAGAAGAGGGCATCCTGAATCACATGAATTCAAAACAGTGGGGGCTTCAAAGAAGACTTTGGACTTTGTACAATTTATTTGTACTTTCACATATAAATATTGTTATGGTAGTCTTGCATAAAAACACAATTTTAAAATGACTTGTTCTATTTCTGTATGTTACCTGTAATTGTTTCTCTTGAAGTTGTACAATGGAGAGTTGCTACAGAAGGTTTCAATGGAAATTGTGAGTTACATGCGATTCAGTCATCAACCCAAATCATGCCGCATGCCTTAAAATCACTGCATGTCGTTTGTGGCGAGTTGGACATGAAACATTCGAACTGCACAAATTTAGTTTTCATTCAGAAAGTAAAGAAGGACAACCAATCATGGTTTAATGATGTAAGTGCAGGTGTTGTGTTAGGATCTGACTGAAGACTGCCAAGTTTGTAGAGAATCTATTGCCTTCCTGTGGGTAACTGCCAGGCCAAAATGGAGCCCTGGGAACGGGGGGAGTGGCCCCCTGTCAACCGACAAAAACAGCTGCCTCACCGCAGAGTCATAAACCGTGCCAAGGGCCTGACGGCAGGGAGACTAACACAGGACTGGGGAGGACAGAAGGGCGTCCCAAGATCCATGGGGTGTGTGCTGAGCAGGTGGTGCTGCCGGGGGGGCCCCGGCACCGTGGATGAAGGGGAGCCGGCAAAGATGGGTCACTTTGATGGCAACTGTGACAAAACCAGGGTGACCAAGGTAAGGCGCTATATGACAGAGGTCTTTAGTCAGAACGTACATCCATACATACGTACGTACACCACCTGATGTAGTATAGCTGATTCATGAAAAAAAATATTCAATTAGCTTACATTTTATAAGGTTACAGGTCTTCTTTGAAGGCATTGCAATTCCTCTTCACATGGACTGAAACTTGTAAGCTTAAAGTTAAAAATCCCCGCTTTGGTGATATCCGGTTACCACTATCACACATGGTAGGTGTGTTGCATCTGCTCTTCAGTTAGCATCATAGGTGTCTGCCGGATTGAGTGCCATGTTACCTTAATGTGGTCTGGTTGATTTTATGGTAGTAATATGGATTCTAGTAAGAGTAGTTTGCAGTGCCTGGACTGACCTTTTTACAATGACGAGCCACATTAGGGTCTGAAAACACTGATGTTGTGTAAGTTTGGTTCCTTAAAGTTTTTGGGCTGGATTTGACCTGCTTCTGCAGTGGTTTCCTGTGCTATTTTGCCACATTGGTCATCAGTGATCACTGTGATATTGGTATAGACTGATAATGTTGAGAACAAGAGCAAGAGGAAAATGAGCAAGAGGAAAATGATTTCAAAAGGCATTGTTTTAAGACTAGTGTATAAAAGTTGTATGTAAATAAGCCACATTACCACAAGTGATTATAAAGACCGACTCAAAAGACCCGAAAATTTTTGTCTAAATTCTTTTTTTTTTGTAAATTGTCAACACCTTTCTGCATCTCTCAATAGCAGTCCATATGACTATGTTCCAGGAAAGAGGAATGCATTTCTAGACTTTAGAGGTCAAGGAGTGTCTTACACCAGTCTGTGTCAGGGCAAAAGGTTCATCGGTGTCTGTTCTTCGTCTGTCAAAGCCAGTTTGTCAAAACTACTTTGGCAGGATGATTTTACGCCTGTCATGTCCTCCTGTCTGACATAGATGTGATGCATACATTTGGATTAGTCTAAAACATTATTTCTTTTTTTACATCAAAGACAGACTATTAATCCACAATGCCAGGGAAACCCATGAACCAGTAAAGCCTTATTCTTTCAGTATGGGCATGATAAAAGGACACTGCACAAAGTCAAAAAATAAGTGGTTCATTAAAAAAAACCGGATCCCCAAAAACAGTTGATTAATGTTAAAATCTTTGAGCTTTGGTCGATGATGTTGCATATCCTAAGTGGAAATGTGTTGAGAAGGTGAAACATCAAAGTGATTGTGACATATTAAAGCAGTTACCTTAAATCTGCATTCATTCCTCGTGATACTGCTTGTCTGGTGAATGAATATCACCCCTCCCCCTCGCCCGACAATGTCTTGCAAGTATGCCAGCCATCTATAAAGGATGGGATATGAAAAGTGTCACCTTCCTGCAAACCTCATTTCACAGGCACTCCCCAAAACACGCAAGGGGGAGGAAAAGGCTTCCAGTGGATATAAATAAAGTATTAGGACACACATTACATGGCCACCTGCTCCAGACCCGTCCTGGAAGGAATGTGAAACGTGAGGATGTACATTTAACTGTGTCCAGGATTCCTAGCTTTACCAGTTCAGCGGTGTGTGTGTGTGTGTGTGTGTGTGTATGTGTGTGTTTATGTGTGTGGTCCAGGTATACATTACATTGTGGGGACCATTTTTTCAGTCTATTTTTTCAGTTTTATAAAAATCTGTAACTGCAATCAAAAGACTAAAAATGGCAAAAGACTTGTGTTTTGTTTGGTAACTTCTGGTTAAGGTTAGAGCTAGATAGGGGTGACCTTAAGGTCACCAGTGGTGGGATTTCGGTTTGGCCCATACAAATGAATGGATGGTCCCCAGAAAGATATGAGTACAGGTCTGTGTGTGTGTGTGTGCACGTGTTTGTTTACTAAATGAGGATAGGATGGGGGGTGGGGGGGGTACATCAGCTGTGTGGGGGGGAAATGAGAGAGCTGTAAGCAGAACAGAAATATGCATGTCTACTCACCACTCCTCAAACACTTAATTATCTTACAGCATTTATTTCATTTTGCTTTAAAATGTCCAGTACACAGTGATCTTATTGATTCATTAAAGTGTTTATGGTATCATCACGCCTATGAGCCCTGCCCCAACCCCCCCCACTGAGACATTCCTGTTTTTCAGCTTAGATCAGTATATGCTAGTAAACTTTTACTAATATTTCTGGATTTCAGGATACTGGCATGTTTATCTCATCTTTAGGCAAAGTGGCACGCTCAAAGAGAAAACATGTAAAGCCAACATTTCTTGTTTTGTCTGCAGATTGAAAACAAAGGCTAAAACTTAATGTACCGCTTGTGCATCGTTTCAGACTCTGGTAGCTTAAAGGGGGGCAGTGTGTGGCTGCAGCTATGAGCAGAAGGTTGCCATCTCAAACCTCAGCAGAAACGCTATGTCTCCATTGAGCCCTTCAGCACCAGACTGATGGCACGACCCCAACCTTTGCTTTTATCTCAATATTTTATATACTCAAAAAGAAGAGCAAAATGGAAGTACTGCAATGTACTTCTGCAAATGGCAGATAATGCATCATTTTAAGAGAAATTGTCCTAAGAAAGTTACGTATTTGCCTCACTATTGGCATGTGTCCATGCACCGATTAAGAAACTGCGTCCTTCTTCCGGCTAACAATCGCAGTCTATGCAGGGATTATTCAGGCAGTGAACCTGAAAGAAAGGCTCCGATGAAGTTATATAAATGTAGAGAGAAGGAAATGGTTACAAAATATTATTTAAGAGCAACGCTGGCTCAATTGCCAAGTGGAGGGCGCACTGAACCACCCAGACACTGCCTAGGATGAACTAACCTGCAAAGCTCACCTTTCGCAGAAGGTGAAAGCTACTGAGATGCCAACCATAACCACTGTCACAGAGAATCTGGTGGCAGACATGGAGTATAGGCACATCAGAAGACTGTATCCAGAGCCCTGCATTACACTGGTCTGTATAAGAGGGAGACATGGGAGAAGTGCTTATTTCAGACAAACCATGTGAGTGTGGAAATTAGCACCAAAGTGATCTAGCTAAAGTTAAAAAGTGTTTTATGGTCTGAAGAGATCAAGACTGAGCTTTTTGGACGGTTTGCAAAGTGCTTTGAGTGAGGCTAAAGTAATGATGGTCCTGTGTTTATATATGTGATGAGTCTGTAGATGGCTGCCCCAAAATCCCCAAAGCTGTAATTGTGCTGAAGGGCGCCTATACCAAATACTAAGGTGGCTGCCCCAAAATCCCCAAAGCTGTAATTGTGCTGAAGGGCGCCTATACCAAATACTAAGGTGGCTGCCCCAAAATCCCCAAAGCTGTCATTGTGCTGAAGGGCGCCTATACCAAATACTAAGATGGCTGCCCCAAAATCCCCAAAGCTGTCATTGTGCTGAAGGACGCCTATACCAAACACTATACCAAATAAGGTGTCTGAGGTTTGATTGCAAAGGTCAGCAGCATATTTCACTTTTGGCCTTTGCTTGCAATACCTACAAACAAATAAGCACGTTACTTTGCATTAAAAATAGTAAAGTAGTAAATAAGTATGATAAAATGGAGCTACAGTATAGGTTTTTATATTTCACAAATAGGTGATATAGTCATATAGACTCCATATATGATATTGAATATCACTTAAAGCTTGAACTAGGAAGGAATGCCTGATATTAATGGTAAACTAACCTCTGCATAATGTAGTTTGCAATATCTGAGTTAACTGTCAGGACCCAAGGGGGCAATTAGGGGAAAGTTTATGCTTAATCGCCTATTTCAAACGTTTCTAGGCTTCAATTTAAAGTGAAAACTGAGAGCAGCATTTGAGAGCGAGGAACTATTAAGGAATTGAATCTATTTTTTAATATGAATCCACTGCTGTATGCGTCCTTAATGCACCAACTTAAGATACGCAAACTATGGTAATTTTTAGCTATGGCCTTTTATTTTATAAGAGAGTCCAGTTGTGCATTTATAGGTTAAACCTACTGGAGAGATTAGAAGCATTTTGGGCAATTCTCATTGTCCCCAGCGTAACTGAAAAGCTGGTTACAGCCACAAAAGCTACATCAAGCATTACAAATAAAGGTAACTGCACATAATAGACCTATTGGATTGTTGTCCTAATTGTTCCAGTAATTGGTATCCAGCCCTATATTGGATCCATTTCCTTCAGATGCTCAGACAGAATAGCCTTAACTTACAAGTGTTAAACAACATCCTACTTTGCTGTCAATTACCCACTGCTCATTGATTATTTCATTGCTTTCCACTGGCATAACACATGCAGTGACTGAGTGCAAAGCATTCTAGACACAGGCTTGCTCTCAGTAAGATAGAAGAGCCGTAGGATGCAATGAAGACCCACATAATTTGATTTATGACAACCTTCCTGCTCCTCATTGTATTCTCACCCTCTCAATAAATTTGTCGCTCAACAGCAATCCACTTAGCAAATCACATTTCACCAGTCTACAGGACACCTTGACTCTTGCTATATTAAATGCCTTGGCCTGAAACAGTCCCTGAAAATTAATGGATGCTGCATGTCTTTTTTGAGAGGGGGGGGCGGCTGTGGCTCAGTGGGCTAAACTACTGTGTCTGTGATTTGAAGGTCACCAGTTCAGGTCTCTCCTTGGCAAAATAGTCACATGTCCATAGGCCCCTGAGTAAGGCCTTTAACCTCCAGCTCCATGACACTCCTCAATGTCAACTCCAAACTTACTCTGACCCACTTGTATGCCTCATTGAGAGGAAGGTTGGGTGGACAAAGAGAGAATAAAGTGTCATTAAATTAAATGTCAGCCTGCTGCCATTTTGGTTCTTGCCCATCCTGTTTTAGATAGGACTGCCAGAATGTAATCCAGGAAAGATTATTTTATTGTAAACATTATAAGCATGGAGTATTGCTCAGACTTGATTAACAGAAAAATAAACATAAGTATTACTACTAAATAAAAAAATTTATCGATGTCTAGCCTGCATCATGTAATATATGATGTAACCCCATATTCAAGAACAAAATATGTATTTCAATGTCATTTGGTTTGCCCACCCATTATGATCAAGACATTGTGAAACAGCATAGTCAAAGTCAAAGTAAACTTTATTGTCATCTCTGCTATATACATTACAGTGTACAGAGAGACGAGACGACGTGGCTCCTGTTTAAAAACAGTACAAAGAACAAAAAGGTCACAAAGAATAAGTAATATAAATAGAATAAGGAATTTACAATTTAAACTTAACTAGAAGTAGAAAAAATATGAAGTTTTTAAACTACAGTATAGGAGAGAAAGAGGCAATGTTACATACAATATACAACCTACAATTTTAACAATTTTGATATAAAGAGAAAATTTATGTGCATTCCATTGAACAACAGCAGTGTTTTCAAGGTCTGATCTAGTCTATGCAAATATATCAACAGCAGTGAGGTGGAGACTACAGACTCTGTGCAATATTTTCAATGGTCTGTGCAACTATATAGAGAAAGTGCAGTCAGTGTTCTGTACAAGCAATGTTCACAGCATGTGCAATATTTTAGCAGCAGTCAAGGGAAGAGAATTACCATAACCATAAAGCATTGATTTCTAATTATATACATTTTTATACACTCTTAAGCAGACGGATTGCTAGTTAGTTATGGAGAATTCAACCATTTTTCAACTGTGTATCCAGGACAGAGTCATGAGGGCCTGAAGCTTATCTTAGGTAGCATAGGACACCAGGCAGTGTACTATTGGAAGATAATTTAAGTAATATGGGCCAACAATTATGCTGTTTAGTAGTATACATAAAAGCTGACTGGTGCATTAACAGAAAAAAACATAATATATGCAGCCTTCAGTAATACGCAGACTTCACTTGGGGGACTTTCCTGTTTCAGATTGGCTGCTTTCACGCTGGTTACTGCTGAGATGCAGGCGGGAACAGTTTTGTGTATTTTAAATATCAACATACTGCTGTTTTTGTTGATCTCTCTGCTTCCTGTGTGTTATACATGATGCACTGTAAATAAACGCGTTGCACACCATTAGATAATAAACACAATAGACTTAATAGTTAACTCAAAGTCTTTCCATGGCTATTTTGTATGCAAACAGTGGTTCCTTTTATTTTACTGGCAGGACACATAACTGAAGCATTGCTTTAACAAAGGTTTAAAGACTTCCCAATGTAATGATTAAAATTACTATCAATAGAATATCCCTTCTATATATGAACTGTTTTAATAATGCTGTATGGGATTTCATTGATATATGCTAGAAATAAATGCCCAGATTATCTTTCAGTGAAGGTCCTTGCGTGTGAATCTATCTGCAGCACAGACCTCTATCGTTCACTGGCTTAGCCTGACAGGCACCCAGAATGAGGGTCCTTCCTGAAAGGCAGGCGTCAGTAATCGGAGAAGCTGACTCGGGGCCTTGGCATCTACAGTGAGAACTGTGTTATGGGTAGGGTATTTGGGGGGAGTATTATTGGTCACTCCTCATTGAGTTCTCTCATTGAGTTCCCCTTGGCGGTACTCAAAAGTCACGGCTTCCCATTCAGAGGTACAATGTATTTTTTGTTTTGTGGTGGATGTAGGGAATTTAAGGCTTAAATTCTAACCTGGAAGGAAATGATGTCAGACATTCCAGACACTGCGTTCCTCCGTGCAGTACACAGTACAGAAAAGTGGTGCTGGGCCATAGGAGTCTTCATATTTTGTCCGTACTATTTTAGATACAGCATGATGTGAAAAGACAAGCAAAGAAAAACCTAAGGTTGGACTTCAAACCACAGAAAGAAACAAGAAGTCTATAATTCTTGAGGTCTGCTAAAGAATTCTCTGGACAGAGAGATAGCAGAAAACATCACATGGATCATCATAAACCAAACTTTTTTGGGACTTTAAGAGAGAATAGTACATTTGAATACCATTTAAGGGAGACAGGGATTCCTATTTGTTGAGATGGACTGTTCAGGTGAATGGAAATTATTCAGTCAGCATCTGTCAGGACAGGATTGTTAGTGTCAAATAATGGCAGGGCCAGAAAACTCAAAGTATGGCTAATCTATGCTTGAAGTATTTACGCACGTTTTTCTAAAATAATGTACTTGTCTCCTGCAGAACAGTTGCTTTGGTTGTTATTGACATTATTTATTGACTCCACATCCCCTGGTACAGGAAGCAAGTATTGTGTGCATGGCCTTCACTTGTTAGTGTCCCTAAAAAGACAAAGAGAATGGAGAAACAGAGAAGATGCAGAAGCAAAATGGTAGCCATTGACATTTCTATTGAGTAACTTGCTAGTGAGCATTATCACAGTAACCAAGGATTCCCACAGGACAGTGACCATCATCTGTGCGGATTCTTCACCCTTCTTTCATAATGTTACTGCTGTTGGATAATGGATGCAATGTTGGGGTTGTTGTGTGTGTGGGCATCTTTGCAGGTAGCTTGTGTTGCAAGCAGAGCTACGGGTCCATCTGTGTAGGTGACAGCCATTTTCTCAAGGTCTTGCTGTATAAAACGAAAAAAATGTGGAAAGAAAGGCTTAGATTTAGTGTTGAGCAGGAGCACATTTTAAAGCTGGAATCACCAGTCAAATACCAGTTAAGTCAATCAGTGAAAAATTCAGCCTACTGTGAAACCAGTCAAGTGCTTTAAAAACAAACTTCGGTAATATCATTCAGTATGTTAGGAGCTGTCTTGTTTCTTTGGTACCACTGAAATAAAACCTAATTAAAAGCAGATGATCACCATTAGCAAAATGACTACTACATTCACAGTGGCTTTATGTGTATGTCCAAAGAAAGCATCTTGAACTATGAGTAGGATATACAGCACAAAAGTTACATCCATGCTCCACCGGGCTTTCAAAACGTGGTGATCAAGACAAGAAAAATGGTAGTGTTTTGTTTTTGAATAGATGTGCACCAGCTCCAGGGAAATTAAATGCTATGCTCCTGAATTAAGAGCGAAGCATCACTTTCCCAGTTGGCTGAGATTTGATTAAATGACTTTTGGGCACAGGTGCAGCTCCTTCGTCAGTAGGCTGTACGCTCCATGCATTTCCTCGTTAGTGTGGTCATGGGAATTCCACAGTTGTGTTTAGTGCGACTGTTTTTTTGTCTGCTTTACCTCTCTTGCAGAAAATTGTATTCAGCCTGATATCTAAGGTAAGGGAGCTGGGAGGGAGCAAAAAGCATGGACTATCTGTGGGTCCCCAAGGACCGGATTGGGAAACACTGATCTAAAGTGTCTGTGCCTCATATCATGTGATTCCTGTGATACGCTTCAGTCTTTCTATGACCCTGTACCAGATAAGTCGATATGAAAAATGTAAAAATTAACGCGACATGATTTTAGTGAAGGGTCACTGAGTGGAGCTTACCGGAACTAGGCTGCCCTCAATAAATTTGTAGTAACCATCAACTTAACCATTGGTTTTGAAAATAATTGAGCAGGTGACTGAGGGTGACATGATGGCTCAGTGGGAATACAGTTGCTTCTCAGGGTTGGAATTTTATTTAGAATTAGGGATACGGATATGGTCAGGATTAGTGCTTGAATTTGGGTTAGAGTTAAGATTATGGTTAGCATTAGGTTTGGGGTTAGCTTCAGGATTGCCATTAGGGTTAGAGCTTAGCATTAGGGTTGTGACTGGCGTTCAGGTTGGGATTATGTTTATATATGAGAAGACTGAAGGTACAGTACATTTTAACAGGGTGTGTGATTACCACTCGGAGAGTGCAGCATTAGATTGCTATCTGAAAGAATGAGCTGTTTTATCTGAATGCAAGCCTAAGAATTTCCATTCAGTTTCCACTAGTCACTTCCATTAAATGTATCTCTTCCTTTATTTTCTCTTTATTTTCATGTTCTCTTAGCCATATTCAGCCATTTAGTAGGATCAACACAAACATTGTTGAATCCAACTTGCTGTGTTCGGTTGTTTGTGCTCTGTTCGGTTGTTTGTGCTCTGTTCAGTTGTTTGCGTTGGTATGTCTGCTTCCTCGGTATGTTATTTTTGATTGGTGTGTACAGTATGTGTTGTGCCATTAGTCTTATACACGTGTATTAATTTTGGTTTAAAGAAAGTATTCTTAAATGGAGAAATATGTTCTTCTGCTTTAGGAGACAGCTCCTTGTGCCCCATCTGTCTGCCTGGACCAGGTATGATTATTAATTTGATGTACAATGTATGTATGCAAATTCTGCTATAAATGTTACCTCTTAAACAAATACTCCAGTCTCTTCCACATATTCTCATACAACATTGTTATTCTGTGCTGTTTCCTCTCAATAATAAATTTGTTATGATCTTGTTCATTGTTGCCAAGCCAAGATTCAAAATTGTAAGATATTGATTGAAATTGTAGGTGCAAGTTATCCTGCAGCAGTCTGGGTTGATGGTCATGATGTGGACTGTTAGTCTCTATATGTTTAATATTATTACCTGTATCTATCAACTGATAATGCAAACATTTCAATGGTAAGGAAGGTTTAGCGAAAAATGATTGTAATGATTAAGATGATTATTTTACCTTCTGCAACTTCTTAATATTGCTGTTGTGGTGATTTAAGGCTGTGATTTTTTGGCGTCTGTTCAACTTTGTTCAGGATAAGCAATTTGAAGGTGGATAGATCAATTTGTTTGAACTATCCTTCTCTCTCTCTCTGGTTTAAGGATTTGTTTAAGGCTGTGTCCTACACCGAAGAGAGAAGTCTCCACGCCCGGTATCATGGATCTTCTTACACTCACTAGCTAGTGTTTCTCTGTCCATCACTCACTGCATCACACCCTATTTAATCATTTGTTTCATTGTAACCTCATTGTTATTATCCACAATGCATTTGTTTAGCTTTTCCCTCTCTTCTTCAGTGTCTGTGCGGTTTCCTGATCATTTGCATACTAGATCATCTTTCGTTTCCTCCTCTGGTGCTGCAGCCACAGTGTTCTTCGGGTGATGGACAGAGTGATGGAGAGATGCTATAACTTCGACCTGACCTACATCACTGAGAAGATCATCTCTGTCTTCTTCCCGCCTGTAATGGAGGAACAGCAATACCAGGCCAACCTCAAGGAAGTGTCCGCCATGCTCAAGTCAAAGCACCAGGACAACTTTGTGGTCTGTCTGGAAGAGACATCTTTCCCCCCCATTCATGTTTTACGTCTTTTTTGTACTGTTAATGTTACTATAAGTACCTCAACATTAACCACCTGCTGTCCATAGTGTATTAACAGTATGGTCATTTATTGTAGCTAAAGTATTATATAGCAATGTAAAACATTTGTCATGATGAGAAAAACATGTTTGTGTTCAATACTGGGGCACGTATAGTAATTTGTGAAAATTCTGATAGGCTTTTACTTTTTCTTTAACTCAGATCTTTAATCTGTCTGAAAGGCGTCATGATATCACCCACCTTAACCCAAAGGTATTGAATCAATGGAAAAGGACAATCTGGTTGTCTGTCATAATACTGATGTCATAATCTACTCGTATGTTTCATTTTGTACTTATGTCATGTTCTGTCGATTGTTTTGTGAAATTATTATACTGTATTACCTGAAATTGTGTAAATATGTCATGTGTTTCATGTGCCTCGTTCTCCTTATATCATGTTTCCTAAACCTCCATCACCAGCCTGGCCTAATTGTCTGGGTTCTACCTGTCTTCAGGTCCATGACTTTGCTTGGCCTGACCAACATGCCCCACAGCTTGACAAAATCACTGCTATCTGCAGAGCCATGGAGGCCTGGCTGACCTCCGACCCTCAGCACGTGGTTGTCTTGCACTGCAAGGTCGGGAATCTGAACCTGAATTACTAGCAACAATAGCTGATATGTATAATATATAAACTGTTTTCCATTAAATAAGAGAAGTGCTGATGGAAATAAATGAGACATCAAGTCATAAACGATGAGGTGGGGGCACTCCAAGTCCTCACGGCTCATAAGGAGACATTACTTAATTCCTAATTGTTTTCATTCTTTTTTTTCCTTTTTCTCAGGGGGACAAAGGCAAAACAGGGGTCATTGTCGCAGCCTACATGCAGTACAGCGTCTCAGCTAGGTAACATGCGACGATATTGCATTACTTTGGATGGTCACTAAATCCCAGCTGTGTGTGGATGTTTTGCTGGCTGAATGTATCATCTGGTCTCTATCTATGTGCACAGGGCTGACCACCTCCTCAGCACAATAGCCATGAAGAAGTTCTGTGAGGACAAGTTGTCATCATTTCTCCACCCATCTCAAAACAGGTAAAAAAAAATAATAACTTCCATCCTGTTTGCTCCAAAGGATCTCTCTTTTATTAAAGCATTTAATCTCCAGTTTCATGTTTTATGGACGATTAAAAACTTCCCCATTAGGTATGTCTACTACTTTGGTGGACTCCTCTCTGGGACCATCAAGTTAAACAGCAGCCCCCTCTTCCTCCACCAAGTCTGCATTCCCAATCTGACCGACTTTCAGGCAGGCAGAGGTGGGAGAACTTCCTTTGTCATTCTATCCAGTGTAAAATGTGTATGTCAGCTATGTTTCCACTTTTACAAACCTTGTCAAACAGACAAAGAGCGCTGTATTGTTTAATATTCAAAAATTGTACATTGTTGTGCTTATCAGTATGTGTTTAGTAAAATACTGGTGAAAGGCAGACTTTTTCATCTTGACCTTCATGCAGTCATTTTCATTCTGCCTGTGATCACAATGGATAACCGAGAATTGTTAGAATATCATGCCAGTTCACATGGATTTTTCGGTCACTGATCATGCAGGGTATTTCCCCTTCCTGAAGATCTATGAGTCCATGAAGTTGGTCTATACCTCAGCAGTCTAGTGAGTATGGTAGGAATAATATGTATATTTGGATAGCCATTGCTTTGTTGTTATTCTTAATGCTCTGAGCGCCATGTGAGTAATGCAAGTGAGTATACCTGTGTGGTCTGTTTAGTAATCCACAGAGTTCCACTGCTCAGAGTCTATGTGTGACTGTCGAACCAGCCCTTCAGCTAAAAGGAGACATCATGGTAAGTAAAACTGAAGTGTCAGTGGAAAGTGGACTTTATGTCTTTCCCCTACACAGGAATGTAACCTACTTCCATTGTCTCCACCCACAGGTGAAGTGCTATCACTGGTGCTCACAGGATGGACGGAAGGACATGATTTTTCGACTGCAGTTCCACACCGGCACCATCCATGGGACTCAACTGTGGTTCGGCAAAGATGAGCTGGATGAAGCCTGTGCTGGTACTTTGGAGGGGATGAGTGGGAGGGAGATTGTAGAGATTGGCGGAAGAGAGGAATTTGGCAACAGAATGTCATTGACAGTGACAAGAAAAGAATAGCTTGAAAAGGAAGAATGGGAACAAACACAAGTGCGAATAGGTGCAAGTAAATTGATTTGTGGGATCTGAATTCCCCAGTTTCTGTTCTTCTATGACCGGAATTCATAACTTTGTCCATTTTATAGATAATCAGTTTCCCTCGGATGCTAAAGTAGAATTTGTCTTCTCTTCTGGACCAGAGAAATTCAAAGGTATTCTTCATTTTATACAATGGTTTTCATGTCTGCCTCCAGTATTGTTTGAGATGGTTTATTTCCACATTTTCTCTCAATTATACTGCAAAAATGTTCATTCTGCATGTTCAAATCTTAGAACAGGATTACCAGAAGAATGACCCTAAAATCACAGTTGAATATTCTGCTGGCCCCCTGCTATGCTGGGACTCCTACAAGAACTTCAATCTCCGACATCAGGACAGCATGGAAGGTATCTTTAACAATGCTTGTAGAAATTTTACCTAGGCAAAAATGTTCTGAGGGCAGAAGGTAAAATGATTGGTTCAGAGAGATAACTGATCAGATTGTAGAGGAGGTGGGCCCAAGCAACTAGAAGAGGCAGGACCAAGACATCTGATTGATTGGTCCCACTTCCTCTAGTTATTTGGGCCCACCTCCTCTTCAATCTGATTGGTTATCGTTCTGAACCAATTATGTTTCCTTCTGTCCTCAGAACATTTTTGTGTGAGTAACCCTCCCATGAGCTTTAACAATCCATCTTTTGTAAAGAATTTATTTTTATTTTAAAAGTTTCCTTTGTTTCTTGTGTGTTATGCGCCCAAACATAAGGTATATATGATTGACGAGGCCTGTGACAATAAGTCTGAACATGTGCCAGCATGTTTAAAACACATCTTCACTGTCTATTTCTCAGATATTTCCCACACTCGTGGACCCATTGATGGCAGCCTATACGCCCAAGTGAAGAAGCGTCGTGGGCCCGGTTTTAGTACCGTGTTTTCCGTTAACGGGAGCCCTGTAGCCCAAGGCGAGCAGAGGCCTAGCCAGCATTTGCAGAAAGTCCCTACTGAGTACCTCCAAGACCCTCCTTGGCCTCCTGCTCAGGTGGGCAGGAAGGAGCAGGGGTCCCTGGTAGGTAGCCCAAAGGGCAGAAATGAAAAAGGAACAAAGGAGAGAGAGGACAAGGAGACGGCCATCCTGGATGACACCAAGATTGCTCCCCAAGAGTGTACAGAGGCTGTAAGAGTTAGCTGCTGGTCCCAGAGCTACAAAAAACCTGTGTGCAAGGCCCCAGTGTGCCTGACAAAAGTATGCTGTCTGGATCGATGTGACAGCAGTGTCTTTCGTCCTCTCCCATCAATTTCACCTTATTCCAAAGCCTCCCAGACTCTGCCTACCCCTTACCAGCACCAAAATGGCCCCTCTCATCTGTCTCTCCCATGGCACCCACATCGCTGTTACTCTGAATGCTCCCTTCCTCACTTGTATCCTTACGGATCTTGTGATGCCCCTATATCCCCGCACGCTCGCACCCTCCCTGCGACCAGCAGGCTGCTCTGTGGAGTGGAGGAATGCACGCCATACCATCATCATTCCCAGGGCAACCAGCTTTGCTCCCATCTATGCCAATTACCCAATCGTTACCTCCAACCATTTATAACTGGTGGACCAGTGCTCACCAGGTGCTGCAGCCAGTGGGACAAATCTGCCCAAGCTTTTGGCTCCATTCCCAACAAGCAGCTCAATCAGAGGGAAGTAGTGCATTGGTGTGGAGAGGCAGAAATACATCGGGGCAATGTACCAAGGGAAGCGTCACATTTGGAGCAACAAGGAGATACAAACATCTATTGGAACAGGGAGGCAGAACTATACCAAGGAGCAGGTCGGCAACAGAGTGAGGAAACCACACTGCCATCTGAGGAGGAAAAAGATGTAGAGATACAGATGGAAAGGGAGGAAACATTTTGGCATCAAACAGCAACCGCATCCCTACTTCTTCGTCACCCTGCTTACCCAGAATCCTCCTGCTCCCAGTCAAACAGTAGGTCCCAATCCTACCTCGACAGCAGCAGCAGTGGTTACCAAACTCCCCAGAAACTCTGCCCTAGCTCCCCATACCAGCCTTCCTCATCTGAAAGCCAAGGTTACACCTCTGGTTATCAGTCAGACTCCACGTCCCCTCTGCCCACATATTCTGAAAACTCCATTATCTCCAGTCAATACACAGGCCTACCTAGTACCATCTCTCCACAATGGGCTTCCCCCGAAAACCATTCCTCACCTTTCCCTCTTCCTGACAGGCCTGGTAAGTTCTTTCTCTGGGCATTGATTCTCAACTTGACTTTTCAGCCAGACATTGCATTCCGCTTCACTCCACCTACTCTCCTGTTGCAGCGCATGTGCCAGGAGGTGCTGGATACAGTCTGGGTCACCTCACCCCCAAAGATGCACAAGCTGCCCCCTCTGCAACTTTACTGGCCTCCAGACCACACAGCCCAGATCATACCAGCTGTCCACATGCTCAGAGGTAGCTAATTTGGATTATTATTGTCAGTTCTTATAATTTTCTTTTTTTTTTTTGCTTGTTCACTTATAACTGCATAAATTATAGATATGTCATATGTATTTGAAATCCCTCAAGAGAAGAAAGAGTAAATATAAATAAACAAATAACCTTTGAGGCCATTCATTGTGGATTCCTGTGGCCTCATGCATCCAGAGTTGTGGCTTTGATTTTAGGCCTATCTGTATGTGTGAGGTTCTCCCCATATGGATCTCCTCTGGGGATTCTGCTTTCCTTTCCGGTCCAAAAATATTCAGTTTACTTAAGTTGTCCTTGTGGTGCCTTTAGCTTTTGTTTATATATACGAGGTCTGTGATGGGCTAGCATCTTATCCACGGCCTCTTTTGCCCAAATCATCCTGGAGTTGGCTCTTGGCTCGCAAAACCCATACATTCTACATGTGGTTATGGAAAATGAATAAATTGAGTTAACTGTTTTTTTTTCTCTTTCTCAGCCCTAGCACAGAATACACACATCTTGTTATAGCTGAAGATAACTTCATTCCAGGCTTGGCTTCCTACCAAAGCAAGGAATGTAAAGGCCCAGAATACCAGACCTCGTCCGTTCAGCTCCAAGAAATTCGACATCAGATCCAAGATCTAGTGAACTGTGCCCCAGAAATCCCAGAATCACACACTTCACAAACAGCATTAATAGATCCTAATGTATCACTGAGCCACCGTGATGCTTGCACAGTCATTGCACATGCAAAGTCCTTCGTGGTGAAAGAGAGTCTTGTGGAACCCTCAGTAGAAGTTACAGTAACCAGCCCTCAGCAAACAGACGTCCAATCTGGCCCAGAAACCACCTGCACAAGTCTGGGACCAGTAAAGACTATGAGTGACACAGGCCATGAGACAGAGAGATGCACAAGAGAGCCTTCAGGCCTTAATGCCATGCAAAGACTTTCCCCTGCTTCCCTTCAAACTCCATCACAGCGAGTTCCCTCCTCCAAACACCATGCATCAATCCGTGGGCCAGGAAATTCAGGCAATCTGCAACTCAGTCCTGAGACAGATGGTGAGGACACCTATCACATACCCCGTTCAGTGGATGGCTGCTCTACCCCATCTTTTCCGATGGCGACTAAGTATTACCCACTGAGCATCCCAGCAGTTCCCTACACTGGGTACACTGCTGTCACCATCCCCTCAAGTCAGCCTCAGCTTCCTGAAGACTCTGGTGCATTTTCTCCAGAGTCACAACATGAAAGGCTTTCCTGTGTGAGTACTGCCATGGCTCTTCCAAGCACCCAGACCGCGGTTTGCCCCAACCTCCATCACACATCATTCTCTACCAGTGAAGAAAAATTGCCACCTTCCACAAAATCAAACGAAGGGTCCCTTACGTTGGCCGGGGTGACACAGAAGCGGGTCAGTGCCAAGTTCGTCCAGGACAGCTCACAGTTTTGGTACAAGCCTGACATCTCAAGGGACCAAGGTAAAATAGTCTCTAAGGTCCTGATTTGAAAATCATTATACTTTTCTCACCTTCTCATACAGTGCAATTTACCATACCTGGAAATTTTTGCTTGTTCCTACACATTTTCTTGTTTGATGCTTACTGACTTGTGAATATTTTTGCAAGACAAAGCCTTAACAATTCACTGACCAGTGTTGCGATACATGTGGCTACCAGTAGGTGTCTCACAAACCCACTTTCCATAGCAATCGCCGCATTGAAGGGGATGGAGCCCGGGGCTTTCCTGATCCGGGACAGTAATTCCTTCCAAGGAGCTTATGGCTTGGCACTAAAGGTCGCTACCCTTCCTCCAAATGCCAACAGTCTTAGCAGCAAAGGTAATTGAACATACTGAGATTCAGAATCAGACTTCATTCAACTAGTACATTATACCTACAAGAAATTTCATGTTGTTGTGTTTGGCATTTAAAATTTTTCGACAGTCCCATTCCTTCAGCATTCTTTAGGGAACTCTCCTTCTGGCGTCCATCCATCAAGTGGCGTAGGAGAGAGTTTGATATTGTATGTCAAATTTAATTAAGTACAAAGGTCTATTTATTGGGGTGAGTTAATGAGTTGAAAATAAATATTGTCCCCCCACTCCGGGTCCTACACCCTTCCATCTTCCAACTACTACAGGGTCGCAAAGGGGGGAGACATGAAGCATACGCTAAGCATCATAGAGCACAAGGCCTTGATGCACCCTGGATGAGATGACAGTCCATCGCAGGGCTCACACACACATGCAACCTGCCAGTTCACTTTAGTGTATGACTTTGGTCGGTAGGAAGTGACACTAATGCCATATATGTAGTATATGGGCATGTATGGTGCACCAGAGCCAACTCATCCGTCTTTATGGCCCCCCTAGGTGACCTTCAGGAGCAGCTTGTGAGACACTTCCTGATTGAGAAGAGCTTGCGGGGTGTGAAGATCAGGGGCTGTCCAAATGAGCCCCATTTTGGTGAGGAAGGAGAAAAGAGGATTCCATCAAAACAAGTTACATGCCTGAGCAGGAGAATTTAATCAGAAGTTACATCTCAGAAGTAGAATTTTGTGGAATGCTACGAGCCAACACGTAACACATTGTTTTGGGAATGCAAACCACAAAGATCTAGTCTGCTTAACTAGCAGTGCTCACACTACCTTTCAAAAGGCACATATGGAAGGCATCTGCGACGTACGACTGAGTGGTGGTGCCGTGTTTCTCAGGACCTCCCTCAGCACTGGCATGTGTGTGTTTGTCGTTCCCAGGGAGCCTCTCCTCGCTGGTGTACCAGCACTCCATCATGCCCATCTCCCTCCCCTGCGTCCTCCGCATCCCGGAGTCCGGTGAGTAGCAGACCCACAGAAAACCAGTGCCAGGTGCTGCCAGGCTGATCATTTGAGTGCAGGGGATTCATTGCTTTGTATTCATTCCAAGTTTAGTTTGATGTTTTAATTATAATGTATCCATCTTATCTTGGTCAGTGTCACAGGGTGGCTTGAAGCCGAATAATAATGATGATAATAATAATAATAATAATAATAATAATAATAATAATATGGTGTCTTTAAATTCTCCAAAATCACAATTATGTCTATGAGGGTGCCTAATGATGGGCTAGCATCCTATCTCATGTCCTGTGTTCCTGGGATGGGCTCCAAGTTCATTGAAACATTGTGCTAATTAAGCAGTTGTGGAAGATACTGTAGATGGATGGATGGATGGATGAATGGATGGATGAATGGATGGATGGATGACTGTAAACATCAGTGACACTGGTGTGCAGTTTAGGGGGACTGTATATTTCTGATGGTTTTACTTTTCTTTTTTTTTTAATTACAGACCCAATTACTGACATCCAGGACTTGCATGTTGCCAACATCGTCTGCACAGCAGCAGAGCTGCTCAAGCAGGGTGCAGGTGAGCGGCCTTATCTACCGCTGACATCCTTAGAGCAAAACTCAGAAAGACAGCATAAAAGACAGAAAATTAATGTCTGCTTTGAAAAGAAATGCATACCCTGTCAATGTTTGACAAGATTCTGTCAATTCATGAATTTGCTGCATGAAAAGGAGTTACATGGTGGAAAGGTGTTAGATGAGGATCCATGCCCTTAGTGTGTGTAGCATTAACAGTGGGTGACACGATTCTGTAGCCCTGTGTCACTGGTGTGACAGTAGCGTGCATGCTGCCTGTCTCCCTGCAGCCTGCAGTGTGCTCTACCTAAATTCAGTAGAGACAGAATCACTGACAGGTCCTCAGGCGGTCTCCAAAGCTGCCCGCTCCGTCTTGTCTCAAGACCCTCGTCCTTCTGCCATTATGGTGCATTTTAAGGTGTCTGCTCAGGGAATCACACTCACCGACCGGGAACGCAGGTATGTACATCAAAATGTGCCTTTGGCTGTTTGGAAACATCACTCCCAGCTAGTCACACAGGGGTCTTTGTTGTAGAAGGCACGAAAGTTAATAACATTAAATTTGCACCATCTTGAGTTTCTGCAAAAAATTGAAAGGAGACCAAGGCAAATTATGCTGAACAGTTAAATGCCAGAACAAATATTTGTTCTTTTCCTCTCTGCAGGTTGTTTTTCAGGAGACACTACCATGTCAACAGCGTGACCTTCAGCAGCGTTGACCCACAGGACAGGAGGTAGGCCTGTCTGACTGCATTTCCATGTAATGATCTCAAAAGTTCACTAGACCACCCTGCTAGAGATCCTAGGATCCTGGAAAGTCCTTAAAAAAAATTCAGTACTACAAATGGCCTTCTGAGATCCTTAATGGTATTGCTAGGATGTTTAGAAGAGTAATTTTTAAGGATATCGCAGTTTCATTGCTAAGATATCTACCAGCTCAGGACTATTCAGATCTCTTATCTTGAGGGCACGTTAAGATGTGGCTGCAGTATGCTATCCTATTGTCAGCACGCTGTCAAACAGCACGGCTGCGCTTCTTTAGCTATCTGAGTTGTCCTCAGACTTTCCCTTTGAGTCTCCACATCCTCTCTTTCAGGTGGACCAGCGCTGATAGACCAAATGCTAAGTAAGTGTTCTCTGTGTGTGACGTCCTGCATGATAGTGTATATGGGGTGACTGTATAAGTCACTTTTTAACTGAGATTCATGTTTGAGATGTATATTTGATTGCCCTTGCCTCTCAGGGACCCCAAATTAATAATTAATTTTCTCAATTTACTGATAAGAGTCGTCACAAAGGCCAAATCCTTCTTAGACAAAACATCTTTGAATTGCTGCTTCTCATGTAGCTTTATAACCTGTATCACCCATCCATGCTTCAGCCCGCTATGTATTCCTGACTCAATGGTTCATCGTCTGGTCTTTAGTCTAAAGACCCTGAAGTCTGGTTCCAGCGGAGGTTCTCTCATCCTTCTCACATTCATTCTTCTAACAGTATCTGTCCCTACACCTCCCTTTTCTCTGTCAGCTGCGTCCCATCTTATGTAACCTCAATTCTCTGCCCTCCGTCTAGGATGTTTGGGTTTGTGGCCAAGAAGCCGGGCGGTGAGTCGGAAAACGTGTGTCACTTGTTTGCGGAGCTCGAGGCTGAGCAGCCGGCCACTGCCATCGTCAACTTCATTAACAAAGTGCTGCTGGGGCTGCATCACAGATAGTCGCCCTCAAGGGGAAAGGCACAGACAGCTAGAGAGTCGGAAGGTGTGGCCAGTGTCCCCTGGGGCACTGCTTACACAGTATGGATCTGCACGATGGAAAATGCCAGAATCTTGTGTCTGTCTCCATAAACACAGCTGCAGAGTTCTCACAGAGATCTTTCAACAAACCCAAGTGGGTCGTGAAAAATTATTACATTGCTGTTTTTCACATGAAGCAGTTCAAATGAGATAACATGATACATGTGAAAGCATAATAAATGCATAAGGAAATAAGCAGTAACAAATAAGATACCATTGTAATTTTAGCACTGTGTGTTTGTCTGGGCTTAATAATATGCAAATTGTTTTGAAGATGGTTTGAAGATGCTGATGACTCTGGAGGTGAAACGACAATGTAGGTGGAGGAAAATTAAGTATGGAATTGTGGATGATTTCATACAGCCTGAGCTGACCAAAAGTGGTGCTTTGAATGGAACAAGTTGTAATAACACAAGTGTGGTTGTTGTGCTTGCATTATAACAGGCAACTCATTCAATGCCTGATTGTTACTCTGCCATTTCTCTACGGTGTAGTCAAGAAAAATGCAGATCATGGAGACTGTACAATAATGACTGTAATGTTAATAGAAGAAAGGAAATTGTAATGAAATCATTTCCAGGCAGTGGTATTCAAACATTTTCCTCCATTCTGCTTGCAATGTGGCCCATACTTTATAACACAAACTGGGAGACCTAGCATGCGGTAGCCTGTTGTGTTTATATGTGTCTGGTACTTCCTTAAGTTTAGCCAGATGCTGGCTCCCCTTGACCACCTATGAAGAACCTCCATCTAGGGAAAGGGGACCAGTGGACTCCAGGTGTTATGGTTCCTCTTAATTAGCTGCAGATGTTTGGGCCTCATGCAGTGGACTAGACCTTCAGGGAATTTTTCACAATGCAGGATAAACAAAATTATTTGGAGTTTGCATGTTCTCCCCATATTATGTGGATGTCCTCTGGGTACTTCTGTTTCCGGCAAAAGACCAAAGACATGCATGCAGACTGACTGACGTATCTATATTGCCCATAGTGTGGACTGGTATCCCTTCCAGGGTGTACCGCTGCCTTGTGCCCCTAGCTGCCTGGGATAGGCTCTAAGCCTGCATCCCCAAATTGAGTAAGTGCCCAGATGGATGGGCGGAAATTTCTTGAATTTAGCTAAACTTGTTAAACTTGGTTATCAGATTTTTGATTTGGCCCACTGTACTAAAAGTGGCACAATTAAAAGAAAAGCTAAAATAAATAATACAGTATTAATAAAGTTGAATTATTGGTTTTCTAGTAATCCATTGTTGAATTTCCATGTATTTATATTTTGTTAGTTAGTCTGTTTTATATAGATTTAAGGTGTTTCATGTGTTGATTGTTTTCTGTCATAGATTTTTAAAACATTTTAAAATATTGAACATTTTTATATGTGACAGTGTTTTGTAATATATAACAGGAAGTGAAGAATGCTATAACATGCTTTTTAAAATGATCAATAACTAAAAACAAATATGCAACAACTTGCATTAGTGAAGTGACTCTGTTTTTTTATATATATACATATATTGTTCTTTAACTTTGACTCTGGATACTAATGAAAACGATTCATAGAAATGATGAATGCAATATGCCAAATGGGTTTAATTTTAAGGCGTTTACACATTTAGGGGTTGGATGCTTTCATTGTCTGTTGTGAAATAAAACACAAATATGCCTATAGTTTCTGAATATCTCATTCCTTCTATTAGCTTTGAATGAAATATCCTTTGGGTATAATATTCACCATACAAGTATAATTGTGTTACCTCCCTTCTGAAAATATACCAGTGCGTTCATTACCAACAACTGTCACTCGTTTATGGCAGCTTAGTGAGTAGCTGGGTCCTCCCCATGTCCTGTGGGTTTTCACAGGCTGTCCTGGTTTTCTCTGACAATCCAAAGACATGCAATTAGGTTACCTGGAGTTTCTAAGCTGTCTGTTGTGCACATTCTGTGATATGCTGTCGTCCTGCAGAGAGGGTGTCTGCCTTTCCGCTTGTGCTGCCTGGCACAGTCAGAAGGCTGCTTCCTGACAAGTGCTGGTAGGGGTACTAGCATGCAAATGTCTCTGCTGTATTCTTCTAACGTTGCATAACATAAGAAAAACATGGGGCTGTATGGGAAGGTCTTTTCAGCCGTTATTTTCTGTGAAGGTACTGGCAGTGTCACAGTAATTTTTAGGCGTCACAGGCATGCAAAATCCTGGCAGTGCCTTTTCACTTACGTCTTTGCTTGTCTCCAACTTTAAAGACTGCAAGTGTAGAGCTTGGGTGGGCTCTTCTTTTAAGTATATTGGGAAAAAATTCAGTAGAGACAGAATCACTGACAGGACCTCAGGCGGTCTCCAAAGCTCCGGAGTACATTAGGCAGAAACACAGCGGGTCCTTAGGCGTATCCTCCATGGCTAAATGAAAGTAAGCTGCATTCGTCAGCAGTGCCTGCTGCAGCTCACTCTGCCGCATGCTGCCGAAGAAGCATCATGCAATTACTGATTGCTCCACAAGCAACTAAATAAAGCTTTCGGTTGTTCTTAGTCAGTGATTATATTCTATACACTGAGTATGACACTACGTTTTGGCAAGGATAGTTACCTTTGAGGAAAGAGGACAAAAATAGACACACATAAATATAATATAGGGTCATGGTGAGCTTGGAGCTTATCTCAAGCCAAAAGGCAGGTTCCACCCTCGAAGGATGACCCTTTATCTAAGGACACACAGCGTGTCATTGGATGAGATACTAGGGCTATCTATTTTTAAAAACGAATTTAGTCAAAAGGTTTAAATTAAAGTAGCAAAATTATGCGGAAAGATTAATATAATGAAAGAATACCGTATAAACATAGTAATAAATTACAAAAATCCCATCAGTCAAATGTTTTTCATTATTTCATATCGCATCTATAATAAATCCATATATTGCATTGCTGTTTGCATAATAATGTGCTTATTCGGTTATTTATAAGGGTGAATTTGGCTGTTGTAGAAATTCAGCGGTGCAAAATTTATTTTAGAAATTCTGAAAAATGTATTTACGAAGACAAAAGAAAAGGTTACGAGGTCCCACCGAGATTTGAACTCGGATCGCTGGATTCAAAGTCCAGAGTGCTAACCATTACACCATGGGACCAAGCACAACCACATGTTTGAAAACTTATCTATTATAATTGTGTATTGTATGTTTGCATATTTATTTAATTTCTATTGATTTGTTATTTTATGTTAACGTTGTTTTATATATATATATATATTTTTTAAAAACTAAAATGATTTCTTAAGGATTTCCGTTTCCGATATTCGCTTCCTACATATTCATATTGGCTGTGCATAAACTCGACAGAAGAATTCATCTTAACTGTATAGTTTTTTAAATCATTAAGGTATGTAAGAGGCATGTCATTAAACTTGCAAAGTCACGAATTCTTGCCTCTTACATTTAACGTAGTTCAAAGTCCCTACTGTTATATAACTAGTATCATATCATTTCGTGTCATATAATTAGTACGATACTTTTAAACTTCCTGTCCAGCTGTCGATTACGAGTCATTGAGATTACAATGCACAATATGACCGTATGACCGCGAGACGTTTATTTTTTGTGCTGCCCGTTTGAAACTGAGGACTGCCATTACAGTGCTGAGCCAATGCGGCAGAAGAAAACCGTACCGTGCGGCATGATGACGGTCATCCACGGGAGAGCGCTTCTCCTCTATAAAAATTAGTTTGTTCGCTTAACTGGGGACATCATACCACACCTGGATGTTTCCAGAGGATTTTAATGACCCCTCTTGGTGCAATTAACGAATAAAGCTATGATTCTTATTTCTCTAGCACTGAGACAGAATGCGTTAGGGAAACACGGAAGATCTTGATTTCCCCCGACACTTTTCGTGATTTGAACTGCTTCGTGTGTAAATTTATGTAACCACGTCCCCCTAAAACTACAGATGCCTTCCACAAAATGAAATATATGTTCACATACAAACTACAGCCGCAGATACCACCAAGCTAATACGCAGATACTAACAGCTAGTGAATAATAAGCTATAAATTGCTAGTGTATTCGGTGCCACAGCGTATACAGTCCAGGTTCGAAGAAAATTATATTTATTAAAACTTGGCAACAGCAGACAGCACGGCACACTATATACACCTTACTTCTGGCTCTTTTCATACTGCTTCATCAAGAACTATGTATACTCAAAACACTGTGATCACTAGCGCCACCTAGCTTATAAACTTCTTCCGCTCAGGGTGTTATAAAGTTCATCCATTTCCAAAGGCTCATCTTTAACAGCGTCGCGGGGGAAACATATATATTTTTTTCCAACCACTTATCCAGCACAGGGTTATAGATAGAGTGAAATTTTAACCCAGAAGTAATCTGGTAGGTGAACACAGTGGAACAGTCAAATTTTGTTTTGGCTTGCCGGAGGGAACCCCCCCATCCCAAAAGAAACCAAGGGGATCCTCTCCATGTCTAACTGAAGGGATGCCCCTCGAGCACCTGTCCCTTATTAAGTATGCTAGAAACACCAGTCCACCTAAATTTATAGAGTGCCCTTAACAGATTTTTTTCTCAGACTCATGTTTCTCAGATTCATGTTTCAGGTATTGTGGCAGTACATCATAGGGATGATGATTACACACCTTCCGTGCCCCTAGGACACAATTCCTCCACAATGAAATTCTCTGAGCCCATTCAGGAATATCTTTGTTGTTATAATAACTACAGCCATTAGTACGGCATAATGTGGGAGTGATCTCTTTTAATTAGCATTAATAATGTTTTTTTAAGGTTTGTAACATTAACCTGAGGTCTTTCCCCTGAATGTACTATTTCAGTCCAGAAGAAAAGTACGGGCTTGTTTTCACTGAGGTTAGATATCACAGTTTCCAAGCTTCGTGAATGATGGCATGTTTGTGCATGAGCTAAAAATATTCTTTATAAAAACTTGAACTATATTTTATCAATTGAGGGTGGCACTGTAGTTGCAGACATCCAGGAATGGGGATTAGCATCCCACCCGTGCTTGGTATGTATGCAGTATGCGGTATGTCCTACCCATATTTCAGAGGTTTCTTCCAGATACTCAAATTCCCTTCTGCAGTCCAAGAACACATGGGTGAATTGTTTCTAAATTGCCCATAGTGGGTGTGCCTTTTGATGACCTGGCATCCCATTTGGGGTGTTTCCTTGCTTTGTGCCTGATGCTGCCTGGGATAGGCCCCAGAATCTCTGCAAACCTGAACTACTGTGCAAGTATACCAGAGTCCCGAGTAGAAGTGAAATCCCCGTAGACTATGAAGCACGAGCTGCATGGTCACTTTGACAGGAATAATGGGGACCTGCTGGAGAATGGGCCAATAGTATAGGTACCAGGAGGTTGGGAACAACGAAATGTGACAGGCCACTCTATGACTGGGTCAGTCAGTGATATATACCATGTTGGCCCAGGCAGTCCTCATATCCCCATGTACACAGGAAAGGAGTAGGAAGCCCTCTGGAAGTCCCCAGGGGGATTGGTCTTGGTGATAATGCTTCCCTAATCCAGGAATGCTGGTGTGGGCCGGCCCTAGACCTACAATGTGCAAACAAGTTCACTTTGGTAAATCCTGCAGCTAGCCTGGCAGTGGCTGGGATTGGACCACAACCCAGGGTCAGTAAGCATGGGTCTACAGTGCTGCTTGAAAGTTTGTGAACCCCTTGAGTAGTTTAGAGTTTTCTCTCGTTGTACCGTGATTTTTTTGTTTAATCATTACCAATTTTTATATATGAAATGTTAGGTTTATGTTTATCAATTCCATGTTCGTATTTTGAGGGGACTGTATAAGTAGCCAACAGACTACGTGAAACATGGAATCAGAGCATGTGCAAAAGTAAGTAAAGCTGTGTTGGTAAAGTCAAGTAGGTAATAGGTAATAGACTCAGGTGAAACACATGTGGGTGCTGAAGTAATCAATTAAGCAGACCAATCAAACGTGACACTGTTTTGAGCAGCAGTGATTAAAAGAGAGAGGAAACCAACCAAACCACTGTTGTGCAAAGGCATAAAGCACACAGATCAACAATGACGAGAGGACAGGAAACATCCGAGGACATCAGGAAGAAGGTGGTGACAGCCCATCAGTTCGGGGAAAGCTACAAGACCATCTCCAAAAGATTCCAGCTCCATTCATCCACTATAAGACAAGTCATTTACAAATGGAAGGCACTCAGCATCAAACTCAGCGTCACGCCCAGCGTCACTCCAACTCTGCCCAGAAGTGGACGGCCATCAAAACTTTCACCAGGAAGCACCAGAAAAATAATTCAGGTAAAGGCCAACCCGCACATCACCTCCAGAGCGTTGCAGACCTCTCTGGCAGCATCTGGGATAAATGTACGTGCATCTACCATTAGGCGAAAAGTGAATAGACATAGCATTCATGGGAGAGCTGCTAAAATTAAGCCTCTGCTCTCAAGAATGAACAAAGTTGCCCATTTAAACTTTGCCAGAGAGCACTTGGACAAACCAGAGGCCTTCTGGGAGTCCATTCTCTGGACAGATGGGTCCAAAGTTGAATTATTTGGCCACAATCACAGGCGCCATGTTTGGAGAAAAGTCATCACTGCATATCAAGAAAAGAACCTCTTACCTACAGTGAAGCATGGTGGTAGAAACATGAAGGTCTGGGC